ATACACACACACACACACACACACACACACACACACACACACACACACACTCATGCACGTAAAATAGTTGAGCTCATCCATGAAGTAAAAACAGATTTGGAAAGTCCTGACAGGGTAAAGGAAGCCACTTTATTATGTTCGCTGATTCGAGCACTAGTCATTTAAGTGACTTGGTCTTTTTCAAACTTAATCTCTTTATCTATAAAATGGCCAAATCAGGACTGTACAGCTGTAACAAATAGACTTTCCCTCCCTAAAAAGTAACAACGGGCCTGGTTGAAATGGTTAAGGCACTTGCTGCCCAGGCCTCACCTCTTGAGTTCCATCCCCCAAGACCCACAGAGCAGAAGGAGAAGACCAGCTCCTCCAAGTTGTCCACACCCGAACCCCTCCCTCCACATGCAAGAGAAGCCAATGTTCAAAAAAATAAAAAACTGATGGCTTCACTTCTTAAGAGTCATGAAAAGAAACGCTTATTGATATCCTGGGAAGTGCAAAGTATTATACAATACGCAGGGACAACTAATTAGACACTTTAGATAATGTAAAGAATAAAAGAGCAAGGTCGGTAGAGGGCATGGCAAATGGGCACCCTGTAGGCATTTTAGCTCTACAGACCTATGTGAATTTGGTGGGGGTTATAAATAACCCATCAGTGTCCTAGGTCCCCATGGCCTGAACTCACCTGTGATTCTTTAACCCCATAGAGTAGACAACAAACTCCAAGCTCTAGACACCCAGTTCAAAGAACTGGACATCATCAAGGATAATCTGACGCGGCAATTTGAACACCATAGCAAGATTTTGGCAAGCCAAGCAGCCCAAGATGAGATGTGGACAGCAGTTCTGGTCCTCGGGTGAGTGATGCTTGAGACATGCTGGCTTTGGGGGTTTTGTGAAAGTTTCCAAGGGGCCATTCCAAGAGTGAGCTTAGTAGGATTCCCAAAGGTATCACTTATGCTAGGGCTCCTCCACTCGGAGGAGATAAATCTGAGCACCTGTGTGTATGCCAGGCCCCTCAGTACAAACACTGTGAGCCTCTCAGCGGCTGGTCTTCCTGACGGGAATGAGTGACAGAGTTCCTTCCCCATGCCAACCTCATCCTGTGGGTGGCCTGAGAGCTCAGCTATGCAGTCTGGCGCAGGCTGTACTTCTGAAACACACAGCTGGCTATCTAGTGGGTTTACATGGAGCCAACCTGAGCAAATGTAACTCTGTTTGTACATAAAATGTTCCATTGAAGGAGCTTCCCACACTTTTTATAGGTTCACCTCAATGGAACTGAATATTTTATACAGCTATGTCATTGAGGTCCTTATTTGCTTGCACACTCGAATGCTTCAGAAGCTTCCAGACCTGGTGAGAAGTCTTCCGACCTTAACCTCCATCCTTAGAAGAAAAGCCAAGAACAAGCAGGTTAGAATTGTATGGGAGTCTGTCCTGGAGGAGTATGGGCTGCAAGAGAGAGATGTCACAGCTCTCTGTACTTTCTTCATTGCACACGGCAACAAGGCAGAGCACTATTCTGCTAATGTAAGACGGATGTACATCAAAGATGTTACGTTCATGATCACCAACATGGTAAAGAACCAGGCTCTGCAGGATGGCTTGCTGAGAGCTGTTCAGATCGTCGAGAAGGGGAAAGCAGCCAGCATCCCTGAAACCACAAGGGCACCCCTAAAAGAGCTGATGCCACCAGTCAAAGACTAGCCTGTTAGTCGCTGACTCAGCAATCTACTTTCAGCCATTTGTGTTGCAAAAACAAAAAAAATACATAATTTAATTTCTGTAGGTTTCTTTTATAGCAAAAGTGGGTGGAACATTAAAGAAACTGACAAATTGATACAATGAATACTGTGTATGTAGCCATGTTAAAGTAAAAGCAAACTCTTTCATAATTAAATAGAGTCTAGGAGTGTAGCCTAGAGTACATGCTTTGTACGTATGAGGCCCTGGGTTCAACCCCCAATGCCACCAAATAAATAATAAAAAGATTCATATGGAATCACTCAGATTTGATGTTATTTTGTTTAAATATTTACAATGATAAGTTTAAAAAGGGACAAAACCTATTATATATACATAACTTTTCTTTTTGTTTCAAGACATAGTTTCTCTGTGTAGCCTTGGCTGTCCTGGAACTCATTATGTAGACTTGGATGGCCTGGAACTTGGATATTGCCTGTCTCTGCTCCTGAGTCCTGGGATTAAAGGTATACACAATGGCTGCCCAACATGTCTATAATATTTTTAAAAGATCCTGTGTATAAGTTTAGATATCTACACTTCCCTAGTGATACTTACGTGATATTGTTTTAAGGGGGAAACTAAGAGTCTAAGAGTCAAAGGGAAAGAAATTCTTTTTACTGCATTAGTGGAATTTGTCTGTAGGCATGACATGATATCACTGTCTCACATCAGAGAAGCTGTGATTGCCACATGGTCATGAGATCAGGCCTGCTGTCATTTCCTCATTGAAGAGAAAGAGAAATGTCCCTTTCTCCCTGAGACTCCAGCCTCAGCCACCAGCTGGACATAATCTTGCTCTAGCCATATCTGATCTTAGGGGATTTAGAGTATACAGAAGGTGGACATTTGCTTGAGTTTGGGGATACGGTGATGCAGCTTTTGTGGGTCATTCCTATGCTGAGGTGGGGATTTCAGGCGTGTGGTTTGCCTTTGAGTCATCCCCGCCACTGATAGTAATGCCACACTTGTGTTCCTCTAAGACTAATGGACTCGTTGGTTCATCAAGCTGGACAGGGATGGACTCTCTTCTTTGGTTTGTCTTTGCCCCATTTGGGGGAAATAGACGGTTCTTTATGTTTCCCTAGGAAGAGCCAGACTGTTTATTTTGAATTTTGAATGCCTATTTAAAGGGAATTAATCAATTAAAAATATAACATATAGGGGTGGAGAGATGACTCAGTGGCTAAGAGCATGTATTGTTCTTTTAGAGAACCAGAGTTCCATTCCCAGCATCCATGTCCAGCGTCTCACCACCACAGCTCCAGAATAGACATGGCCTTGATACTTTTTTGCCAAGCTTGTGGGCCTTAAGTCTTTAGACAGAAAACTGCAGACACCAGGGGACTGTCCCATAAAAGAAGTTTAATGTCAAGATGTCACAGGTATGAGGATTTTCTGGACCAAACTTTTTTTAAAATTTATTTAATTTTATTTTATGGACATTGGTGTGAGGGTGTCAGACACTTGGAACTGGAGTTACAGACAGTTATGAGCTGCCATATGGGTGCTGGGAATTGAACCCGGTCGTTTGGAAGAGCAACCAGTACTCTTAACCTCTGAGCCATCTCTCCAGCCCCACTTTTTTAAAAATTTTTTATTAATTACACTTTATTCACTTTGTATCCCCCCTGTGGTTCCCTCCCTCCTCCTGTCCCAATCTCTCCCTTCCTCCAAATTCTGCATGCATGCCCCTCCCCAAGTACACTGATAGGGGAAGTCTTCTGTGGCCTGGTAATGCTGCTTCCCCCTCAGGGGGAGGTAATTAAAGAGCAGGCCAATCAGTTCATGTCAAAGGCAGTACCTGTTCCTATTACAGTGGAACCCGCTTGGATACTGAACTGCCAGTCTTAGGTTATCTCCATGCATAGTCCTTTTTTTTTTTTTTTTTTAAAGATTTATTTATTATATATACAATGTTCTGCATGCCAGAAGAGGGCACCAGATCTTATTATAGATGGCTGTGAGCCACCATGTGGTTGCTGGGAATTGAACTCAGGACCTTTGAAAGAGCAGCCTCTGAGCCATCTCTCTAGCCCCTGGCCCAAACTTTGAACTTTCTGGTGAGAACGGCTTACTTACAGATTTACAGGGAAGTGGAACCTAGGATCTGTTAGACCTGGACCTCTGTGTTGCCCAAATTGGACTCAAACTCCAGATCCTCCTGCTTCTGCCTCTGCCTTTGCTACCAAAGCCAACAAAAATGCTGGAATTACAAGACATGCCTATCTCAGAGATCCTTTTTTAAAATTTTTATTTAAAAAAATAAGGTCTCTTTAATTATTACTGGAACTCACTATATAAACCAGGCTGGCTTCTAACTCACAGAAATCCTCCTGCCTCTGCCTCCAAAGTGTTGGGATCAAAAGTATGCATCACTATGCCAAGCCATAGGTACTTTTCTATGAAATAAAATTAGGCTATTGATGATCCAGTTATCGACTGGCTGACCGATTGCAGCAGGATCTCCTATAGCCCAGACTGGCCTGGAACCGGTTATATGGCAATGGCTTTGTTTGTTTATGTTTTTCAAGACAGGGCTTCTCTGTGTAGCCATGACTGTGCTGGAACTCACTCAGTAGACCAACCAGCCTGGCCTCAGCTTACAAGGGGCTGGGATTAAAGGTGTGGCCAAAAAGGCTAGTTTATAATAATCCTTCTGTGGCTGCTTCCCAAAGGCTAGGATTGTAGGCGAATGTCTCTTTTTTGAGCTCTTCAGATTCAACATACCAAACCCCAATAGGCATTTACTCATGCTGAAGTTTGTGGGTATAGGGCCCAAGCTATGCATTCAAAAAACCAGGAGGGAAAGCAGTAATAAGCCACACCTCCAAATTGCTGAGCATTAGCCAGTTGTAAGCCACTTCATAGGAATTCTTTGAAACCACCAGTCTTTTTGTTGCTGCTTTCCTTGAACGTGACCTGTCCATAAAGCCCATAATTGCTCGCCATCAGTCACATCCTAGGGAATGTTAGTGTTGCAGATAAAAGCCAAAAAAAAAAAAACTTCAAATCGAATTCGTTGCAGTTTTTTTCTTGCGGCACTAAGATCTTCGGAAAGTAACAAAAAGGTAGTCTGAGAGAATAATTACAAAAAATAGAGTTTGGCTCTTGGTTTAGAAAGTTACTTCAAGCAGGGACCAGCCAGGTTTCCCAAGCCCACCCTGGCTGACCCACCGTAGGTGGGAGGAGGATGCTGCGGCGTAACAGCTCCCGGAAGTCCCGCCCCAGTGGGCGGTCCCCTGGGCAAGAAGGGCCGTTTTGGCGGGGAAATGTGACGTTTACCGACCCTGTGTACCGGCTCTGGTGGCGTCGGGTTGACTGTTTGGACGGCGGGACACGGGGTCGGAACGAGCCGCGAAGCGACCGAGAAGCTGGAGCACGGACGCTGGAGGGCCGCCTCCGCCACGACGGCGAGACGGAAGTCCAGCGGCGGCCCGAGCCCGGCTCCGGGCGGTACCGGCTGCTCTCCGAGCTCCGGAAGCCCTGCGCGAAGAGGTGGGACCCGCCGGGTGACCCTCCCCGAGGCCGCCGCGCTCCCGAGGGAACGTTCGTTCATTCCCTCGCTGGACGCTGGGCATAACAGTTTACCTGACATCACAGCGCCTGTTCGTCTCGGGCCTGTGGAAGCGCAGGCCGCCTGGATTCCAGTACGCGGCTGTCCGGGAGAGTAAACCCCGAACCGCCCGCCGGTTTTCTGCCCCGCCGGGGTCGGCCTGAAGACGACTCTTGTTCCTTTCAGGTGTGGACGTTGAGTGGGCCTCATTAGCGTGGGAAGATGGCTGCATCCAAAGCCGCTATCCCTTCCTTGGCCGAATGTCAGTGCGGGATCTGTATGGAAATCCTCCTGGAGCCGGTAACCCTACCCTGCAACCACACGCTCTGTAACCCGTGTTTCCAGTCGACTGTTGAAAAGGCCAGTCTGTACTGCCCCTTCTGTCGCCGCCGGGTCTCCTCGTGGACACGGTACCATGCCCGAAGAAATTCTCTTGTTAATACAGACCTGTGGGAGATTATTCAGAAACACTATGCAAAGGAATGCAAGCTCAGGATTTCTGGACAAGAATCAAAGGAAATCGGTGAGTAAAATTCAACACGTTTATTGGGTGAAAAAAGCCAAAGTTGTTCAGTTTTTCAATTTATTTATTTACCTACTTATAAATTTTGCCTGCATCTGTGCCTACGCACCAGAAGAGGGCACCAGACCTCACTAGATGGTTCAGGACCTTTGGAAGAAAGGGCAAAATGTTCTTAATCTCTGAGCCATTTCTCCAGCCCGGGAACCAAAAGTAAGAAAGACTAAATAGTCTAAACTGATATTGAGGATTTGTGGTTTTATGAGCCCCGCCCCCACGTCGGTTAAAGTAAAGGACAAGCTTTTATCACTTGTGATAATGCTCAAGTTGTGTTCACCTTCTGTGAATTGAGTTTTAAAAGTTGCAAGGAAAAAAAAAAGAGTAGCCTCCCCCCTCAAAGTTGTCTAACTTCTCAAAATACTTGTCAAATTCCTAAGTTCGTTGACTTTGCATTCCTTTCTCTGATTCTTTCTTGTTTTGTTTTTCGAGACAGGCTTTTTCTCTGTGTAGCCTTGGCTGTCCTAGACTCACGCTGTAGACCAGGCTGACCTCGAACTCACAGTGATCTGCCTGCCTCTACCTCTCAGAGTGCTGGGATTATAGGCGCGCAGTACCGCGCCCGGCTCTAGTTTAAGGTATTTCTTGAGTCAGAAACACTATCCGCTTGTCAGTGTTTCCTGAAAGCCTGTTAGAAATTCGATTGGGCTACATTTAGATTTAGCAACTTGTGGGGATATTAGGATCTTACCAGCCATTATAAAGTCCTTCGATCCATGAAAGTATTTTCCCATTTATTTAGATCTTCAGTTTCTTTTGTGGGCCCAATCTTAATAAAACTTTGAAAACGTCTAGGAGTTCCAGGACATCCAGGACTACATAGAGACAGACCCTCTCTACACGAGGAAGGCAAAAAGCAAAGCATACAGTAGAGAAACTGAAAACAGTGGTATTGTAACATGAAGGGGATGAACTGTGCTAAATTTTCATTTTAGCCACTAAGAAACAGTCCATTTCAGATAAAACAATGATAATACCTCCAAAGTGGGAAGGATTGGAACTGAGCAGAGAAAAGTGCTCCCATGCCCGACACCCCAGTCTTTTTTCTTCCCTGCCCCACTTAAAATAAAAAGGTGCTAGAAAAAAATGCTTAAGGGAGAGAATGAAATGCAGAGAGGTAGAGGTTTTTTGGTGTTTTTTTTTTTTTTTTTACCCATTATTATTGTGTTAGCAATATGCAAATATTAGCAAGTGATTGCCACATGTGTGGAGGCCAGAACTCACTCACAGAGATGCACCTGCCTCTGCCTCCTAAGTGCTGGGATCAAAGGTGTACACCAGCACCGCCCAGCTTTTGGAGACTTTTAAAAAGAAAGGCAAATTAGGTCCAATTCAATGTCCACCTGTATAAAGAAAAAAATTTTAACTTATCTTTTCGTTATTCAAATGAAAGTTTTTTTAATGTGTATCTGTTTTCAGATGATTCAAATGTGAAAAGGAAGATTTTTCCTCTTAATTGCCTTTTTACTGTGAGAACATATTAGTACAAACTTGTAAAACATACTACATAAAAATAGCAAAACAGGGCTGGAGAGATGGCTCAGAGGTTAAGAGCACTGGCTGCTCTTCTAGAGGTCTTGAGTTCAATTCCCAGCAACCACATGGTGGCTCACAACCATCAATAAGATCTGGTGCCCTCTTCTGGCAGGCAGAACACTGTATACATAGTAAATAAATAATTAAAAGAATAGCAAAACAAAAAGGAAGAAGTGCCCAATTGTCATCACTAAATGTATATATTTGCAACAGAATATATTGTTCATCCAGTAAAAGGAATTGTTAAAGTTTTAATGTGGGATGAAGGCTCTGTTCCAGTAGTCATTACTGGGTTGATTGTATCAGGAGAGCACTAACTTTATCAATGGGTCAATCCACTGATAACATCGTATCAAATGGGCTGTTAGTTGGTGAGGCCTGTCTGGAGAAAATACACTCGTCACTGGGGCATGCCCTTGAAAGGTATCTTATTGTTCTAGTTCCTTATTTCCTTCCTGTGTTTCTTTGCTTCTCGGCTGCAGTTGAAGTGGGCAGCTCTCTACCAAGCCTTCTCACCATCATGTATCTGTCTTGCGCAGGCATAAAACCATGGATGCAAACCTGGATGAACCAAAGTAAATCTTTACTCTCTCAAGTTGCTTATGAGGCATTTTGTCATAGCAGTAGTGGCTGATAGGAACTAAACTGACAGGTTCTAGACTGTGGAGATAGAGACATGTTTTTTTGTTTGTTTGTTTTCTTACATTCATGTTATGTCTTACAGGCAGTGTATCAGTAAGTACATGCTTCATGCATAGTATTCTAATTCCTTAATAATCCTGGCAGACTTCTCAACTGTGTCCATTAGAAGTAATGTAACTATGAAATGATACTTTGAGACTGTGATTCTCCATCCAAAACATTTTCAGGCAAGGGTTTTAACACCTATTTGTTACTCATGTCTACAAAACGACTGTTGCAAAATAGGAAATTCAGATATTTTAAGGACGGTTCCTCTCTCCTGTAGCAAACTTTTTTCTAAGAAGTATGTAAAACCCTATAGATTTCTCTCTTCATTAATTCCCACTCAAACACTTTATTTTAAATTTACATTGTTAATGTATAAGTCTAGACACCAAAGTGGAAATCAGAGGACAACTCTTGGTTGTGGATTCTGTTCTTCTCCCATGTGGGTCCTAGGGATTGAGCTCAGGTAGTCACAGGTGGTGGCAAGTGCCTTTACCCACTGAATCATCTTGCTGGCCCCTGGCTTTCTCTGTAAAAGTAACTTTTATTCACCTTGATGCAATTGTTGTCTAGGAAGCTTGCTCCCTCTGTCTGCTAACCTAGGCCTCTAGTCTCCATACAATCTAACCTAGGTCTAGAATGTTTTCAACCTTTTATACTTACTGCTGAATAAACTCACCCTACTTGCTCTTTCTGAGCTCTGGGCTGGCTGGTTCAACTCAGCTGTTCTGGCTCCGCCCTTCTCCCAGCTGACTTTTTTAGTCTGGCTTCTCTCTCGGCCTCTGAATGGCCTCTGTTTGCCTTCCAACTAACTCAAGCATCCTTTCTCTGGCTCTGTCTTCACCTCAGTTCTCTCTCTGCTACTGTTGTGGTAAAACTGCCTCCTCTCTCTCTATCTCTATCTCTGTATCTGTCTCTGCCTCTCTCTGCATTGCCCCTTTAGTAGCTTCTTCTTCCTTTCCTTGTGAGAGGTAGCCAAATCCTATTCTGTCAGATCTTTCTCTGCCACTCTATTAAACATCACTTTCAAACATGTTCTGAATTAATATTCTGCTACATTTTTTACTTTCATGTTAATGACTTAAATAGTTTTAGAGGTTTTTTTTTGTTTTGAAACAGTTTTTTTACTGTGTATCCTTATGGTTGACTGTCCTGGGACTTGAACTGTAGACCAGGCTGGCCTCAAACTCAGAAATATGCCTGCCTCTGCATCCTGAGTGCTGGGACTAAAGATTTGCGCCACAATAGCCAGGTTTATTCTCTTTCCCTTTAAAGGAATGTTTTTATACATATGAGTACATGCCTGTGAGTTTTTACATGCACCATGGACATGCAGGTGCCTATAGAGACCAGAAGAGGACAGGACCTCAGATCCTGGGCATCTGGAGTTAAAGGTGGTTGTGAATGAGGGTGCTAGGAACTGAATGAACCCAGTCCTCTGGAAGAACAGTGCTGTTAATTGATGAGCCATCTCTTAGTCTCTTGTTTGCTTTTTTGAAACAGTGTAGCCTAGGCTGCTCTCAAACTTACAGCAGTCTTCTTCCAAGTGTATGCCATCTATATCCAGCTTTTATTATTTTTTATTTACTCTGGAATGCCAGAGGACAACTTTCAGAAGGTAGCCCTCTTTTCTATTATGTAGGATGTTCTGGGATCACATTCAGTTGTCAGACTTGGCAACCAGCACCTTACACTCCCCAATGTGGCCAATATTTTTTTTCTTTTTTCTTTCTTCTTTCTTTTTTTTTTTTTTTGAAACAGAGTTTTTCTGTGTAGCATTGGTTGTCCTGAACTCGATTTGTAGACTAAGGCTGGAATCACTTAGAGTTCGCCTCCATCACTAGAGTTCTGAGGGATTAAAGCACCACTGACGGCTTTTTTTTTTTTTTTCTTCACTTTGTAGACCAAGCTAGCCTGGAACTCATTATGCAGACCAGGCTGGCATGGACTCACAAACATCTGCCTGTTTCTGCCTCCTTCAAGCTAGGACAGATGTACTGCATGCCTGACTCTACACCATCACTCTTTAGACTGTTTTCTTGGAGTTAACCCTTGCTTTTGAACTTTGAAACCTTCATCAAACTTCCAAGGTTTAGGCCAGGAATATACTTCAGTGCAGAGTGCCTTGGATTCAACCATACATACACACACACACACACACACACACACACACACACACACACACACACCACACGAGCTTTTCAAAAAGAAGAGCCAGACCTGGCAGTGGTGATGTACAACTTCAAGGCTATACAGAGAAACCTTGTCTCAGGGAAACAAACAAACAAACAAACAAAAAAACCAAGCAAACAAAAAAAAAAAGGAAGAAATTATTAATTTCTTAAAAACAGAATGACAAAGTGCCACAAATTAGATGACTAAAAAGTGAAAAATTTCCTAACAGTTTTGAAGACTAGAAGTCAAGATATAATCAGGCCCTTTGACATTTGGAAGTGGAAGCAGAACCCTTCCTCACTTCTTTGTAGCTTTTTGATCTTTTATGTGTATTGGTGTTTTGTGTCTGTGTACTCAGTGCATGCCTGGTGCCTGCTGAGGCCAGAGGAGGATGTTAGATCTCTTGGAGCTGCAGTTAGGTGCTTGTGAGCCACCATGTGGTACTGGGAATCTAATCCAG